CTGGTTGATCCTAATAGGTGAGGTGCCTCGCCATTTTGTATTAGGCTGATGCTGAGGTTGTGTGATGGGGGTGTTATTGGAACCTACATGAAGGTCTGCTTTACTTTTCTGTTGCGCTGTGTGTTGACCTGTTGGAACATTAACGGTCACCGTCCCATCCTCTTTGATGAACCCTCCAATGGTCTCAGAGGCATGGGTGAGGGTGCTTCCTGCGGACTGCGTCAGCAGTCTGGCCTTCCTCATCTCCTCCAGGATTTTCTGGTAACGTTTCACTCTTCGCATCAGAGAGTCTTTCTCCTTCAACCGAGTCTTCACCTCGGTTGACAGCTTAGCTCGCTGCTCGCGTTTTTTAATCCGCCAGTGCTCTCGCCGTTTTGCTATCGCCTGCTCAGGTGTATCACTGGGGTCAATTCTAGAGATATTTCTGGTGCTAAGGACTGAAGCAAGCAACGGGGATTTACATCTTGTGCTTCTTTGATTTATTAGATTCTTCTGGGCTTCAATAAATCTCTGTCTAGGTGTTTTACATCGTGCGATCCCCCGAGTAACATTAGAAAGAGGTACATAACTTGGAAGCTTTCGCGGTGATACCCCAGGTTTTTTCACAGAAATATCTGATGTGATGGCTGTCCGTGTTGTCCTACTTCTGTGTGGAATTTGTACTTTTATCTGATTTATTTGCAGGTTAACTGCAGCTAAACGTGCTGTGTCACTTTGCAGTTTATCATTTTCCCTTTTGGCAGATGTAAATAAAGTTTTAACCTTAACAGGACATTGCTTGTGGCCTGGTCCTCTAAAAAACGAATGAGGAGGATGATGCTGAAGATCACCCACGAGTCTTGTGTTTTGTGCCGTTTGCCTCCGTACGGTCATCTCAGAGCCCGCTGCTTTAGCTATCTGAGCTGCCAGCTTTGCTCTCTGTTCTCGCTTTTTAATCCGCCAGTGTTCTCTGCGCTTGGCTGCTCTCTCCTCCTCGGACTCCTGGGAAAACTGTGAGTTCTCCCTCTGTCTGGTGACCAGGGCACTCTTTATTCCACTTTGAGGTGCTGCGTTTGCTGCTTTGCCCTCTGTTTTCATGGGGCCACATGGAGAAGACACAAGAATCATACCTGTTGACACACTGGTGGGCAACAATTTGGGCTGATTGCGTAATGCAACGTCCACTTTATGTTGCATTTTGGGGACTGATACGTCCTGCATAGACACATACGGCTGAGGTGTTGTTTTAGTGGAGCTGCCGTTGGTAACTAAGGTCACTCTGACTGGAGGAAATGAAGAACTGGTGTTAGGCTGGGTTCCACTAGGTGTGGGTGAGGTAACAGCTCTGTTCACAGCACCCCTTGGTGACAGGCGTTTCACTGTGGCTGGGTTGCCCCCAGCAGCTTTGGCTGACATGGAACATGATGCTGGAAACTGCGGCAAAACCTTGTTGAGTTTCATCGTCTGGAACCACTTCACCTTTTGGCTTTCAGCAACTTCAAATGAATTATCCGCCACTGTAATTCCACTCTGCGACGCAGAAGACACATTGGCTGTTTTATGTGTCTCGGCATTACTCTGCAAAGTGGGAGCAGCTAAGGGGTCAGATAAAGCAGACTGCACCGCTGGTGGGGTATCTAGATGTAGGAGTATTTCCACTTGACTGTCCTCTGTTGGTTTTCCTCTCCGCTCTGACAGTCGGGCCCTCTGCTCACGTTTCTTGGTTCTCCAGTACTCTCTCTTTTGGGCGAGGGTGGCATCATCATACTGTGAGGCAGGCCGGTAGCGGTGGGACGCTGAAACACCTTTAGCTTTTGCAGTTGGCATGCTGTTGCCAGCTTGGACAGCCCACCAGCTCTCATCTAATATTACTGGATGGCTCTTCCCTTGTCACACTGATTCAGTTCATCTCCAGTGTCCAGAATCCTCACTTCCATTAAGTCACATAATGTCCTTCTCTGTGATGCTGCAGTAGGTGTTTGTGCTCTGCTGAGGAGCTGCCAGGTCTCTCAGACATCAAATTGGTATGCAGGTGTCCTGAGGAACAGGAAACAATTCTTAGTTGCACCCTACTTTGGAATAAACCTGGTATGAAAGGCCACCAGTCAACTGAATGAAGGAACAATTTACTTTAAAACAATTCGTCTAATAAAGTGGAGAACCCAGCCTTTGGATTTCCAGTTTAGCTGAAACTAGTAGTGAGGTGTTAATTTAACTATATTTTGTTTAACTGAACTGCAATAAGCTGAGAAGTGACAGTTTTTCCCACCCTCAGTTAGAAACTAGGGAGGCAGCTAATGCTTATTTTTAGTACTTTCAGAAAAAGCCCATATTATTTTTTCACATGTGAACTACACATGGTAAAGGCACCCCCCAAACAGATTTAACATTTAAAATGTAACAAACAGTCTTGTAAACATCAATTTAAGATGTAATATGTGAACAGTATTTCAGATGTGACTAAATCACGTGTGGTGTTAAATTGTGATTTTGGAAAATAAAACATTTTTTCCACGTGTAGTAACTTCACATCATAAAGCCACAAATTTAAGATATTTCACATTTGCATTGTAAGACAAAAACAACAATGGATGATTTGATATAATCTGTAAATCACCTTGCAGATGTGAAGAGTTCACATTTCAGGACTTGTAGTTTATCACGTGAGAAATGTGCAGTGCACTCACATATAGACAACCTGGGACATTTCGCATGTTCATTTGGTAACTTTGTTCTTCATTAGCATACTAATAACTATCATATTTGGAGTGACCATAGCAAATGTTCTCATTTGCACTGGGCAGACGCGTGTTTATAATGAATAAAATGCTAAAGACAGTGCACAGGAACTAAAACACCCAACGCACGACACATAAATTGTGCAATTTCCGCGTGAGACACAGTAGCCTACATCCGATAGCTTTTAAAATCTGCCAGTTCCTTCAGCATCTTTGGTGACTGATATGTCGTGCATGCAAAAAATGTGTGAGCTACAGGAACCAGGAAGGAAGCGGGGTGACACTGTCCCTTTAAACCTGTCCCTTACATACGTCGAGAGCCATTTTTATTCTTTATTCTGTGTGTATTTAATCAGAAATGTGGGACGACTCATCTAAAGCACAATTAACAACACCTACAGAAATTCAGCTAAAAAAACCCCGCGACTGGTAGAACGTAAACTGGGCATAAATGGCTGTCTCTCGGCGACACAATGGACACGATCTTCCTCCTCTTGTCCTCATGGACTGGTTCTGTCTGAGTCTGCTGCCTGTCTAAAAGACGCCAGAAAAGCCGCACATTCAAGCCGCAAAGCAGGTCGCAGGAGAACATGTGGAAGGAAAACATGCATATCCGTTACCTTTTAGTTACACCTAACTTTCCGGGACAGTTTTGTGAACATGTTTTGACAGATATTTTGCCAGGACACTGCAGCTCCTGTCCGTTAGCCTGCCGTGCTCCGGGGCTGCCTTGACAACGCTGTAAAGTACCAGGATGTGAGACCTGGATGTGTGTGTGTGTGTGTGTGTGTGTGTGTGTGTGTGTGTGTACCGTGGACACCAGAGACCGTACAGTACAGCGCCACCTTTTCTCTCCAGTCCCTAATCCATTACTACGCGCATATTTAAACTATATTTCACAAAATTCAGACAATGAGCTCATATGTGTCCATGTGGCTGGCGGCTAAAGGCTCAACCTTACTCGTCATCTCACAGTGAAGCCTGATTTTGGACATGAGACAGACTCAGTAATCGAATAAGAGCATTCTGCAACAAAGCACAGAGATTACACGAAGCTTAGAATAACATAGGTCTAGGTCTATATGCTGTTTCCAGCTTGGAACAGCTGGACAAAGATCCATTGATTTATTGGCTGTTTCTACAGATGACCTCAACTGATGTGAAGCAGAAGCTTCTGGGTTATCCTACAGTTCAGCTTATGGTTTAAATTATATGTTCTATGATCAAATTATTAGGCCGTTTATAATTAGTAGTAGTTTTAGTAGGCCTAGAAATGGATAGCCAGGTTATAGTAGCGCATACAGTGTGTGTGGGGGTATACACACATATATATATATACACACAAAGCAGACAAATTAATGACATTAATAATCTTATTTCTAGATAGACGCTCGTGGAAAGTGGCCAGCTCCCCCCAAAAAATAAGAACAGCTTTATTTGGGTATATATCTACAAATAACAGCATTGCATTTAAATTTACTGATTTTCTTTGTCTTCTATTCTTGGGTTTGACCCTGGTCGAGAGCAATTTGAACATGTTAACTTGGGCTCTTGACCAAATAATTAGTCGTTTAATCAAGCTAGTAATGAATACATCAGTCAGTAATGGAGACTGGCTCCATATATCGCAGCCCTGCGTATAGAAATACAGCTAGGCCTGTTATCTGGGAGCCCATAGATTCACGCTGTGGATATAAACAACAATAAACATAGAATTTGGGGGAAATGCCATATGGGACCTTCAGCAGAGAATATTATGATCTGGAGCTCGAGGGAACCTGATTTGCAACGGACCCGCCTTTAACTGAGGCTTTTCCGCAACAAACGGGTTCTGCCAACGCATGATTTTGGTAGAACGAGTGCATATTAGCGGCTTATCTTTACTAACGCCTGCTGCGCTGCGTGCCCCAACCCCCCGGGGTGGGTGCACTAGTCAACGGTGCTACTGTCTCTTTAAATTTACCCAGGAGCCCCTTAAGGAGCCCCAGGGGCCCCTAGTCCGGCTCCCCACCCTGAAGACAAGCAAGAGCTTTAAAATGCATTACTGAAGGCCTACGCCGAGGCGCTTCCACACAGAGCCAGACGGAGTAGCGGGCCCAGTTCGCCCGCGGAACACATGATTGTGTGATTGGAGGAAAAGTTAAGTTGGCTCCCGTGCGTGGCGCGTGGGGGGACATCGTAGAGCACGGGTTCCTCAGCGATGGGCTCGTTATAGAGCGCCTGCCAGATGCGTGTCGAACGGTGCCAACCGAGGTGAACATGTTACAATTGTGACATGTTGTTCTGAGTGTGACATGTCCCGCTTCAGCGCTACGATACAGTAACGGAAGGAGGAACACTAGCCACTACTGAAGCAGCAGCCAGGCCAGTGATGGAAGCGAAAGAAACGGGGGAGCGCGAGCCTGGGGAGCGCGAGCCTGTGGACCTCCGGTGTGCCGAGCAGGCTGAGCTGCTCTCATTAATAATAAGCGGAGAGGAGGAAGCGCCGCAAGAGGAGAGTGACTTGGGAGGTAAAAACATAAGTATGTATTTATTTATAGCAAAACAAAACAAAAACTAGCGTAATTATTGTTAGTGTTCCCCACCGCAAAGTGGATCTGCGAGGCTGTCAGAGCCACGGCCATTGTCAGGCAGCAGGTAATCCGTGTCAGGGACAATGCCATGGAGCGGCATGGTCCCTCTGTCTCTGTGGCTCCTATAAACAAAGGCTCAACAGCACGCAGGTAGGCGAACTGAGGCACGCGGCCTCCCCCTAGTGGACAACGGCGGCACCGGAACAAACTGATAATATGGGTTATTGGAGGTACACGGTGGGGCATAGTAAGATAAAGTAAGATTAATAAAAAAAATACAGTATAATCATGAGACTTTATTGTTCCACAGTGGGAAATTCACTAGATACCCAGCAGTATTTTTAAATTAAAATTAGCTTTGTCTTTATGAGCTGCAACATTGAATATGATGTACACACTAATTCAAAGGTCAAAGTGTTTATTCGTCATATGTACAGTTAGGAAACGTGTTTCCCTGTACAATGAAATTCAGTACAGGTCGTCAGTACATGACGTATTTCCTGGTAATAAACTCCTCAGCTGTTTAGGAGTCTGATGGCAGAGGGAAATAAAGAGTTTTTCAGTCTAGAGGTCCTACATTTCAGGATTCATCAATAACCATGCTCAAATATTATAATATACATTATTGTGAATTGTGTCATCTTGCATACTGAGTAGTTTTACTTTTTTATTTTTACTTAACATTTTGAGTGAAGGACTTTTAGTGAACTCACATACTGTATGTCTGTGCTTTCTGTACTGCTGTTTCTTGCTTTAACATCTAAGCACCTACCAGCTTTTAACTGTGATACTCTAATATTGGCCAGCTTACCAGTCAGGTTCAGAAATGTCAACAGATGTGTCTTCTCTCTGTGATGCAGGCGACTTCCAATATATTGCCACTTCCTCTACACGCTCTATTGATGCATCTGCTTCATTACCGACCTCAGTCACTGGTCAGATCCACATTAGATGCAGTTTTCTAGACACTATCATTAAATAATGTAGCAAAAATTGTATGGAGCTGTTAAGCACAACAAACCCAAAAAGAATGCTGATGTATGGACATTTCTGTATATAACTGAATGGTTATGTACGCTTACAGCTGCTTGTTAGCACACATCTAGGATAATGACTCTAATCAGGTCTACACGGGAAGGTCTACAGAACTGTACACTGAAAAAGAAAAATAAAGCTCTGCTATTGGTCCAAGTATTGACATTGTTATCAGAAGTACGAGGTAGGCTTGGTCACCTATTCTAATGAGATATTTACGTGTTGTAAGGTTTGTAGTTGCCCTAAACAGATCTGAAGTGATAAAATTACCAGGATTTACCTGTATTCTGTTTGCTCCTGCCAGAAGAAGATGGTCTTATTAATGGCCATGGCGAGGAGGAATCAGGGGCTGGCACGGTCACACCTGTCAGATCTCCAGGCACCAGCTATTGGAGCATCAGTGAAGGCCCTGACCATCCGCTCCTCCTCTCACCGGCCCCTGGGCCCTTAGGACGAAAACCCAGGGTCCAGAGGGCCTCACGTCCAGGCCTCAGCCGGATCCCAGGTCGTGACCACCGCCGCTACTACCATGAGTACTGGCGCAGCGAGTACCTGATGGACTTTGATCCCCAGCGGCACGGAATGATCTGCATGGTGTGCGGCAGCTCACTGGCCACCCTGAAGCTCAGCACCATCAAGAGGCACATCAGGCAGAAGCACCCAGACTCCCTGCTGTGGAGCACTGCTGACAAGGAGGTGATCCGCTCCGGCTGGGAGAGCCACCTGAGCGTGAGCAGAAGTCATGGTTCATACTGTTCTGCTGCTGGACCTTCACCTCAGGGAGTAGAGGAGCAGCTGGACTCAGGCCAAGATGCCATCGGTGGGTAGGAAGCTGGCTGTAAGTTTTCTAGGTCTCACACTTGGTGGCAGTATGAGTTTGTGTTTTAACATAGTGTGTAAGGAGGAGATGATGAAGTAGTGACTCACTCACTGATGTTGGAGAGGGAGGGACTGTACCAGAACATGACTGTTTCAGGGTGGCCTATAAAATCTATATAAAACAACGAAAATGTGTTAATTTTGACAATAATAGTACAACTTACTCGTGTTATGAACACTCTTTTTCATTTGTACAGTGAGCACATGTAACACTCGTATAAGGCAAAGGAAGTAAATACTATCACTTCTGACCCCGTCAATGAGAGTGACTGCTCTAATTGGCTGTTCAGTCTAATGAATCAGTGCATGAGATGAGAAAGTCCTTGAGTCTGTAGCTGTAATTACCATGATTTCACCCATTTAGTGTGGTTTTACCGATTGTACCGGCTGCCTGATTTGTTCTACATATGCACAAGGGTGCAATGTATGCCAGTGTTGTATTGCCACACTCACTCATCTTGCCCTAATCTTAATCATTCAGGAAGTAGCTGCATTTTCACATATGAATCGGGTAGCAACACAGTTTCCTCTTAGACCAAGCTGACAACACCAGTGCCATTTGCAACTTCTTATCAAACATATTCTCAATTAGAAATAGCTATAAACCGTCTGTGGTGAGCGAGAGTGGTGGGAAAATGGTAAGCTGCTTTGTTGACTACCACCACCTGCTGGTATGAAGAGTTATCTCACCTCAGGAAGGTGCAGAGTGTACGTGCAAGTTGGCTGACGCAACAGTCGGCCTTCGTCAGGGCTAGTTCTTTGGTGGTGTGTCTCTGCCGTAACAGAGCCAGTCTTTATGATAAGCTAGACTAACCATGCCCCAACTCCTGCTCTGTACTCAACACACAGACATAAGATTGTCTTCTCATCTCACCCTTACACACTTACATTTTCTTAAGTAACCAAGTTACTTAGAAGAAGACCAGATTTCATGGCTAATCAGAGAATGTGTGACATGCACATATATTTCTACTATAAATATGTTTACAGGCAGCAGTGACTGCAGTTGTTTGTCCCACATGATTAGTAAATTGTAATGCATGGTTGATTTTTCTTGTACTTTTTTTTATTGTTATTGAAATGTAACCACAAACACTCAGATATCATTCAGCAGCTACATCCAAAGTTTGTCCTTACAAACATCATTCCAAATAATTAATATCATTTAAATTATTACAAAATAAATATTAAATAAAAGAAGACAATGAATAAACAAATTATGTTTATGGCACTCACCATAGACAGTTGTTTATAAATCTGTCATGATGTATGCACTTTATTTTTAAGTTGTCTTAAAATGGCACTGTGTAAGTGAACAGTGGCTAAATATTTACTGATACCAGATCAAGGGAGACTGTAGTAGCAGCAAAAAAACCCTAGTGTACTGAAATGATCAATGGTCCATTCATTCACTTCTTTCGTAGTATGTAGGTATGCAAACATGGACCACTGGTTAATGAAAATCTACATCAACCGAAGTGGATCCCTCAGGGTCCTCAAACAGGGGAACGATAACATTACTGAGATGAAGCAGCAGCACAAAGATGTTAAAGGCAAACTGGCTCAGAGTATGAGTGTGGCTTGAACTTAACAATGGTTAAATGAGTTGCTCAATTTGTAAAATGTACGGTGCTGAACGTTCTTACCTGCGGATATTACAAAACTTGAAAGGCAACATTGAAAGTTTGATTTCAGGGCTTGGCCGACACTGAGAACATTTGTTTTAAGTTGATTAAAGTTTTTAAGTTGAGGAGACAGAGAACAGGGGAATAATAGAGCATGGTGATGAGAGAAAAGGGAGCCACCAAAAGAAAGACTAAGGACGCTGATGCAGCTCAAGAGAGGAGAAGGAGAAAGAGATGAATTACAGCAGTGGTGAAAGACAATTTCAGCTAAGAACAGGACTAGGTAAGACCTGCAGTTAAGATCACAGGTATTATCTCCCCATAGGTATGTACATTTCCTCTATGTGAAGCATTTAAGAACCTAAATTCATCCACCAGCTGTTTAGACACCCTGCCAACCAGCTTCTCCAAAATTGTTTTCAGTTGCTTGGAAACAGATGTGCTGAAAATTGTTAATGGCTGACTCCTGTCAGGTATTTTTTCCAAAGTCACTGAAAACTGTGGTTGTTAAGCCCAGTTTAAAGAAATGTAGCCTGGATCCTTCTGTGTTAATTAACTACAGGCCAATCTCTAATTTTCTGTTTTATTGGGAAACTTAGAAAGTTGTTTTGAGTGAACTCTGAACTTTAAAATGCAAGTGGTCTTTTGGACAGATTTCAGTCTGGCCTTAGACAACACTACAGCACTGAGACTGCACTGTTAGAGGTGTTAAATGACATTTGTGTTAATATTGACTCAGGTAAACAACTGTTTAATATCAGTGCAGCTTTTGATATTGTAGACCATTATAATCTTTTTTGACAGACTGGAACAGTGACTGGGATTATTAGGTATAGTCCTCAGTTTTTCCAGTTCATATCTCGAAAACAACGATTATGTTGTTTCCACTGGTGATCAAATACCTGAGTAGATCATCATGACATGCGGAGTCCCCCAGGGTTCGATTCTTAGACCACTGTTATTCAACTTGCACATGCTCCCTCTGGATGACATCACACAATAATGTTGCCTATCACAGCTACATAAACAACACTCATTTATTTGGCTTGTTCACCAAATGACTAATAGCCCTTTAGATTCACTATCAATGATTAAATGATTACATTTCTTTCAGTTAAAAAAAGACAAGGCACAAATTCTTGATGTCTTAATTGGCTCAGATCTGAGCACTGAGAGCACTGAGACTGCACTGTTAGAGGTGTTAAGGGGAGTTCCCCCATTTTGAAAAAATGAATTTCAGGTCCTGTTTTCTAAATATTATTTGTCTCATCTTTCTTGATTCTCAGCAGAATCTGTGGACACTTTGATACCTCAGGAGCAGCCACAGCAACCCCTCACTCTGTCTCCCTGCACTGAGGAAGGCGAAGCCCCCCAGCCACAGGAGGAGGAGGAGGAGAACCTCCCTGGACCTTCAGCTCAAACCTTGGAACGCTACCTGAATGATTCACTGCACGCCTGGTTCCGCCAGGAGTTCCTGATGGAGTATGAGGCAGAGGCTGGTCGGCTGCTGTGCATGGTGTGTGGAGGAGAACTGCCCTCGCTTCACCTGGACCACATCAAGAGCCATGTGCTGGACACCCACCCCAACTCCTTGGTCTACAGCTCCGAGGAGAAGCACTGTATCCTGCAGGCCTGGGCTCACACACATGGTAAGAACAGACAGCATAACACTATGTGCAACCACAAACAATGGTGGCCTAAAGGTTAGAGAAGCAAGCTTGTGACCGGAAGATCACCGGTTTAATTCCTGGACAGGCAGGATTAAATCTGGGTGACAAAGCAGTGCCTGTGCAAAGCAGCACCACTGTGGTGCCATTGAGCAAGGCCCTTAATGCCACAAGTCAGTCTGTGGTTGTACTGTGCAGCTTCCACGTGTAAATGTGAACAGGGTGTTCCTGAAAAAGTAAGGTGGCCTCTCAGTGAACCTACCCTGAATTTAGCTGGAAAAAACTTATAGAAAAAAATCATCTGGACTTGGTTTTAGGTAGAAGACATTTCACCTCTCATCCAAGAGGTTTCATCGGTTCTGTCCGACTGGTGGTCA